TGTCTCGCTGTGTTTCCCCTGCAGCTCGCTGGCCCCGCAGGAGGGAACGCCGCGGATCCTAGCAGCCCTCCCTTCCGCCTGATCCAGGGTCATCTTTTACTTTTGCGGGGGGAGGGGGGAGGAGTTCGGGAGGGAGGGGATGAGGGAGAAATTAAGACAAATTCAGACTGGTGTAAAGGACAAATACGGCAACGACATCAACGACTCCCATCCATCGCTTTCTGCAGAAAGGGGCTCATCCCGGCCCGAGCTCGAGTCCCAGCAGCCTGGCCTCAGCCCGCGGCTCAGCGCAGGTGGCTGTCACCGTGCTCCGGTTGATTATCGGTTCGGTAAATGCCCCCACGTGCTTGTGTCTTTTTTTTTTTTCTTTCTGTATATAGAGTGATTTCAGATTGTAAATAGCGCGTCAGCGAACTTGTCTAAATCATATATTTTTGTCTAATAAACTAAATGAAATGATGCCCACTGCTCTTGCCGCTGTGTGTGGCTGGGCGTCCGCTGGGGTGTCCCGAATCCTGGAATCCTGACCGGGCCCACGTGCTGCGGCTTGGGGAGAGAGGCTCCTGGGGGAGTTTCCAACCAGCAGGCTGGTGTTTCTCACCGTCTTTTGGTTGCTGCTGAATTTGTTAACGTCGTCAGGAGGGCAGTTTCTTGTTAGCATTTTAATTCTTTCCAACTCTCAGGCGTTTATCTGGGGCACGCCTTTCTTCAGGACAAAAATGAGTTCGATTTTCGGCAGTTTATGAAACGATTTCTTAAGGTGGGCAACAATGGGGGAAAAAAAAGGAAAAGAATTTTCAATCGTGTCCCCTAAAAGAGAAGTTAGGATTTGAAGTCCCTTTATAACTAGTCTCAGCAGTGTGTCTGTCGTGTCGGGTCGTCTCGGAGCTACAGTGAGAACATAATGGAGTATGCAGTTTTGCTTTGAGTGTAGTTTTAGTTATTTGGTTAAGTCAAACGTGGAGAAATTGGAAAGATCTTTCAAATTGTCCTGCTGGGCGGGCAGGGCAGGGATGCAGCGCGGGAGTTCTCTGTGCGTGAGAGCCAGGGGGCTGCGGTAGCAGTGTGGGGTGACAGAGAGGGGAGGGGCTTTGGTCCCCCGGGTCGTCTTTAACCTCACGCGCTAAGCACTGGGCGCACCGAGTGAGCCCAGGAGCGTATAAACCCCTAGATGGCCGCCGCCGGGCCTGGGAGGCAGCTGGGAGCGACTGCAGGAAACAATGCGGGACGGAGCCAGCCTCGGGGGCGCGCGGGTGGGAAAGGGCCCACGAGCCCCGGGAATCGCGGCGGTCGGGGCTGCGGGGCCTTTCGGAGCGGGATGCACCGCAGCAGCCTGCACTTCCACCAGGGCGCCGACGACAACTTTATGTTGAATTCGTGAAAACAGAGAAAGCAAACATTTCCGAAACTGATAGTGAAGCCGTGGGCTGCAGGGGAACCAGCCCACCGGGGAAGCAGCAGGGCCCCCGATGCCGAACAGGACCTCCGCCACACGCCCTACCCAAGCCAGACAGTCGCCCTCGAGCCCTTTAGGGACCCCTGGTCCCGGGGCTGCTAGTTCTGGCGAGGGGCGCGGCTGTCTTTTCCCTGGGTCTCCTCTGCGGCGGGGAAAGGGGGCGGCTTTCGCAGAGGACGAGGGGGCGCCACCCCAAGGCGGCTACCTTCCTCCCTGCGGGCGGGGCGCCACGTCCTTCTCTAGCCACCACCCCCTTGTCTGTCGGTTTAGCGGAGAGAGTCCCCTCCCCGAGGCTGGAGGAAAAGCGGCGGGAAGGAGGCGCGAAGGGCGCGGCGGAGGGCGCGCGTGGACAGACGGCACGTGGGGGGCGCGGCGGGGCTGCGGGAGCCGCGGGAGGAGCGAGGCGCGGAGCCGAGCGCAGGGCCGGCTGGCCGGCGGCTGGGGCCGCGCTGGAGCCGCGTCCGTCTTCCGAATGGACGTGCTGGAGGCGCCCTCTATGGGCCGAGAACGGAATGGGGTCCTGATGGCGGCGCGGATCTCGCTCTTGGGGCGTGGCGCAAAATCTGGGGCGGCTGAGCCTTGGGGGTGCCGTTGGCACGAGCCTCGATTGGTGGTGGTGAACCCTTCTCTGTGTTCTTGGGTGCCACCCACTCGTTTGAACTTGGGGCAGGGAGTGCCGGGCCTCTAGAGTGGGCATTTTGGAGGAAGGGGTGGGGGCCAGGCTCCATGCGGGGCGAATTCAGAGAGGAGTTCCTCGTCTATGCTTCACGCTGGGGCTTCAGGGGTTACCACAGCCCTGGAACCCCTCATTCTGGAGTTCCTGGAATCGAGTCTCAAGCCTTGATCCTCACGTCTGGGGCCAGATGGATTCCGTGTGTGGCGAGAGCTCATCTCGAGAGCTTTGACCCGTGGTGTCCTGCTCCTCGGATAAGGAATCACGTTCTCGGCCCATAGACATGCTGCTCTGGCATCCAAAATGTGCTGGGAGAGCCTTCTGGGTGCCTGCTGGAGGCGGCAGGTGTGATCCAGGTGGGCGGTAGAGTTTTCTGCCTTGCCGCACCCACTCTTTTATTTCCCAGAATCAAATCGGATGGTCCAGTAGGCATCGCTGCTGGCACACCCCCTATTTCCATTCTTTTTTCTTTTTTATCCAGTAGATTTGGGACCCCTGGAAGCTGCTGCCCAGGTGTCGGGGTCAGCACTTTTTTGTCACCAGCGGGGTTCCAGGCCTCAGACCCCAGTGGCCTAGAAGTCGTGAAGGGTCGATCTGTGTGCCCTCCTGGAGACCAAAGCTTTCCATTCAAAGAAATAGGATCACCAGCCTCATAGCTATTTTTCTCGAATGAAAAGCTAGAAATGAATTTTTAATGGAATGTTGGAAAGCATTTCTGTTCTTTGTGCACTATTTTTTACATCTTTCCCAACAAGGGCAGTCACACCCAGGGATGAGCGGCACCCATGGGGAACGCCTGCTTTGCACAGCATTTCAGCTCCTAAAATATCTGGGAGTAGACTAGGAACCCCCTTTTCTTCTAAAGCCAAAGGGGAAGTTCTCTGGAATTTTCTGCACGTGCAAAGGTGGTCTCCCACCCTCCCCCTACCTAGGACAGTTTCAGGGAGTGGCAGTAGTTCAGTGACCAGCAGGGAAGAGACAGAAGTCGAAAAGCTGTAGGGGTGAGAGGTGTCCACAGAATTAATGTTTTCACTTTGGCACCCCCTGCTCCGCAGGTGACAGGTTCCCTATAGAAAGGACACCCCGTGTCCCAGACAGTATCTCCTCCTCTATCAGATCTTTTTAGGGGGAAGGGTAAGAAATCTGGTGCAGAGACTCTGTTCTCTCTGCTGCAGTCCATTTCGGCGCCAAGGTGACAGGGAGATGGTGGGAGGTGCAGGCTGTCTGGATCAGGCCCCCCATGCCTGGCATGAGGACTTGGGGAGTGGGCGCAGGCCCCATCCCAGTCGTCGACCTGCTGGAGTCTCTGACATCTCTTCTGCCACCACCATCCTTCCCTCCCTCCTCTGATCAATTATATCCACCAGCACATTTATCTCTTTTGCAATATGGAGAATTCATATTCATATCTTGGTTTTAGCGGTCTGACACTGATTAATGTAATACTTGCCGTGGCTCGGAGGGGCGCGCCACCCGATGAATCATGCCCTATAAAGTTTCAGTTGTCCTTGTAGATGGGACTCTGCCAGAGAGTGAGGAAGCAGGAGAGGGAGGGAAGGAGGGAGGAGGACTGAGAAAGAGGGCAGGGTGAGCCATGGCGCCGGGGTGCCCTAGGGCTGGCAGTGGCCTGGGCCCTGACGTGGAGGGCTCGCCCGGCCCTGCCCCCTCTGCCCAAGCCCCTCTCCTGAGCCCAGGACTGTGTTCCAGTCTTCTCCAGCCTTCTGGATGGCACGAGGAGCCCTGAAGCTGCCTGGCTGCCTTGAGGAGGCAGAGTTAGGGTAGGGCTGGGGCTGCCTGATGGAGACTGTGGATGTATGGACACTGATTTGGGGAGATTGGATGCTGGAAAGCTCTCCAGAGAGTGTGACAGGGCCCAGTTTACCAGTGGGAATGAGGTTTTGACCCTGGGGCACCCAAGTTAAAGGTGGGAAAAGAGGGAAAGAAGCCAAACCCACGGAGGGTTACTGGGTGGGAAGCTGGGGGTTGGCTCCTTGTAAGTTTGGGGTGCAAGGAGGTAGAGACTTGGAAGGCCCAGCCAGCCTCCACTGGTCTCTGCCCACCGCCTGTGCTGCATGGGCCACATCATAGGACCAAACAGTGTGCCGTGAGGCAGCCCGGCTCTCAGGCCTCCCGGGACCCAAGAAGGGGAGGCTTTGGGGTACCTGACACTGAGTGTACCTTCTGGCCCTGTGTCTTGCCAAGTCCCAGGGAGGTGGCAGGCGGCAGCTAAGGGATGTGGGGAGAGACCTGCTAGCATCTTGCTGGCCCCAACTGCAGGTGGTGGCTCCAGGTGGGGAGGGCAAGTGGGGGAGGGTGTGGTCCCAGAATAGAAATCCAGGGTGGGTGGCCTGGAGTGTAGCTGGGAGGTCTGCGGTGTCCTCTGGGGGTGGTGGCAGAGCCCAATAGCCGGAGGGGTCCCCTGAGCCTGTGTGGAGAAAGCCAGGCCCCCCAGAAACCTTTCTTTCCTGGGCTCTAGCAGCCCTCCCTGGGGCGTGGGACGAGTGTCTCCCAGTAAAAGTGGCACAGCAACCAGCAACTGCCCGCCCTGCTCTTTTCCAGCGCCCCACTGCGCCAGCGGCTCTAATTATAGCTCCAGAGCTGAAAGGCCTCGAACGTCATCCCTTGGGGACTGCTGGAGGCCTTTTGTGCCCCAGCTACTGAAGCTGGATGCCGACCCCCTTCCGCCTCCTCATAAGGACTTCTGGAAATGGGCCCGCTTAGGGCGGCCACAGAGGGGGACAGAAGGAGCCCACTGACCTCTCAGCACAGCCAGCACGAGGCCTGGGGCCCACAATACTTTGAGAGGCCCACGAAAATGTTTTAATGTCTTTTCAAGTGAAAAAAAAATAGTAACTTTTAGGTCGAAGAAAGTGTGTTCATAGATATCAGTGTATTCATCTTTATACCAACGCCGTTGGAACCTGCTTGGACGCTTGTTTTCAGTGGAGCCAGAGGCTCACTGCGCAGGAAAGTCACTATGCTGCCCCGGCGGAGGACGCCCTGGAGCGGCCTCAAATTCTGGCATGTCCTAAAAGAGAAAGCAGAGAATTGAGGTGGCCTAAACCCGAGAGAGGAGCAAGGGATGGAGCCGCACGCCTCGGTGGCCTCTCCATCTCACATGCCCAGAAGCAGGGACCCAGGGGCACTCAGGCATGGGTTCTGGGGCGAGGGGTTGGGGGCGCCCAGGCCCGTAACCGCAAAGGTGTCCGCACTCCGAGTCAGCGCAGAAAGCACCGCGCAGCCCCCACTGCGCCAGGCGCCCCGGGAAGGAAAGGCGGCGAGGGGGCAGTGGCCCCGGAGTGGGCAGAGGCCGCGCGGCCCCCATCCCCTGCGGCGGGGCGCCGGTGGCAGCCCTTTCTGCGCGCTGCTGTTTGGCTTCTGAAGACGCCGCGGGGGTCTCTGATCCCCTAATCCATTTACCCAGCGTCCCGAGCGCCCTGGCTGAATGCGGGGACACAATGGCGAGGCGGCACCGGGGGCCCGGTTGGGGGAAGCCGGCGCACCCAGCTAGTCCCCCGCCTCCGCGTCTGGTCGCCGACCTCATCGGCCCACTGCCCCCGCGGCCCGCACCGCCGCTGCGCCCTGGGCTCGGTGGCAGAACGAAGTGGTGGGACTAACCGAGTTGAAGTCGTCTGAACCGAAGGGCTGTTTTCCTTAATTCCCCCTACTTCAGACTGCCCTTTCGCCTGGGGAAGAACTCGCCGCCATTCTCCGCTGCGTATTCAGGTCTGAGCGCAGGCGCTCCGGGAGGGGCTCCCGCGCGCTGGGAAGGTCACGCAGGCGGCTGGCGCCCCTGACACCCGGACGACAATCCGAGCTGGTCACTTGCAGTCTCGGCGCGTCTTCCCTCTGTGTCTTTTCCTGTTTGCTTGTTTGTCGCTGCTGTCGCTTTGTTATTGAATTTTAAACGTATGCTTAATTGCCAGGTCCTCGGATAGCTGCAGCAACGTCTGAAAATATTAAATACATCTGCGAGACGGTGGGCAAGAGAAATTAAAAAGGTGCTCGCTGCACTGAATGCTAAAAAGATCGCACAATGAAGTGATTAACATTTTTATGAATAAAATTAATCACGCATTAACTCTTCAGCACACTACATCTGAAAGCCAAATGTGGCCGCGCAGCCCCCCTTCTGACACCCAAGAACTTCGGAGGCCCCTTGGCCCAGAGCAAACAGCCAGCCATTAGGAATTTCAGAATATTTATGAGAGGATTAGTCACTAAAAGATATCTAAATCTGAGGCCAGGAAAATAAAACCTCCAAAAATACCACCACCGTCAACACACATAGGGCAAAATTAAAAAGCAACCATCCTTTTTTTCCCCTTCAGCAAACTCTCAATCCGAGGGGCCATTTCCATTCTCAGATATGCACATGGGCTTCTGTGGAGCGGGTCAAGGAGGGCATCAGGAGGCAATGTGGCAGGCCGACAGAGGCCCAGGCGGGGCCCTCATCCTGGGCCCACTGCTCTGGCAACCCCAGATCAGATTGGAGGGCAGAACTTCCGCATTATTAAAATTTCCAGTCTTCCAGATAATAAAGTACGATTTCTCCTCTCCTGGCCTCCCCCCTCCCTCCCTTCTAATCTCTTGCCGCTGTGGTTTTGGGATTATTCCAGCAGGCTGTACAAAGGGAAGCGAAGGCATCTGAAGTGTCATTCTACGGCTGTGGCAAAGGAACAGCGTTGCCATTTTGTGATGCTCCCAGCTCATGTGTGCAGCAGAAGGTGAAATCAAAGGAGTGCCCTTCCTCAGTTCTACACATTAGTTTTCACCGCTGTGGCGAATTTCTCTGAGCTCCGTGAGCCAATAAGACAACGGTCCCTGTTTGAGTTGATATATTAATATTTACTGAGGATTTGCAAGGTCGGGGCTAAATGTCAGCAGATTGCTGGGGCAGTCCTGTGGGGGATAATTACACAAATCTCACAGCAGTGCAGTCTCCTAACATCTTTATTAATCTTTTTTTTCCCCCTACCCTCCTGAAAGAGTACATTGAAATATTGCTTTTGAAACCTTAGAGAAGATTCCGGAGGAGGGTCACAATAAAATACCGTGTGCTGGCGATGTTTGCTTTGGGAGGGTCTCATGGACCCCATCCTGGCAGATGCTGGTGAGGAGGGAAGGCTCTGGTGTGTGAATTATCACCACGGGGTTGCGATTCTCACCTGCCCCACCATAAATTTATCCTGACCAATTTGCCAAACGCAGTCACTCTTTCTGTGATTTGATCCACGCCCTGGCTGAGCCTGTGTGGTCCCCTCTGCCGAGCGAGGCGACTGCCGGCTGCGTGTTCTGGAGGCCTGCTGTCTTTAACGTGATTACAGCGCGCGCTTTAGTACAAGTTGGACAATTCTCTTTAATAAGCTTCATAATTAGTGTTGGGAGGCCTCATTACAAGTCATAGCCTGTAGCAGTCCTAGGCCAAACCGTCCCCCGCAATCTGATTTATTTTTTATCAGGCAGCAGAAGCTGGCTGGAGTTGTTGTTTGTATAATGGGGACCTGCATCAGGCCCCCAGTGTAAAAATACCACCAGGAAATTAATTGCTTCTGTGTGGATTCACCGCAGATGTGTCCTGTTGATCAGAATGGTATATTTTTGACTTTGCTATCCTGCGGTGAGTTGTAAAAAAATAGAATGAAAGCCAGCAATGCAAACATATTAGCATCACTATAGATTCAGTATGGCATAATTGAAAACACGGGGTTCAGAGGAGGATGGGCAGGGAAAGTTCAAGTTTCTGGTAAGATGTTTTCCTTCCTGTCCTCTTTCATGCAGTTCTTATTTATTTGTTTATGTATGTATGTATTTATTTATTGCTTCAAAGTGGAACCATCTCATGGCAGGCACGTGGCTGGAATTTCAGTCGGTTTCTGGCTGAAGGATCCCCTTGTGATAACACGCACCCTAAGGGGGTGGCTGATCCCCCTGCCCCCCCGCACCCCAGCCTGACGCCAGGCCCCTGGTTGAGTTCAGTGGTTTGAGACTCACAACCACGCAAGTTCACCAAGAGGAGGGCGAATCTCAGTGGCTTATCCAGGCTCCACCCCAAAGGTGCCTCAGGCGGCGCTGGGTGGGTAGGCCTTGTGTGTGCTCTGTGTCTGCACGTGTGTGTGTTTCACGTGTAACTAAGCCGTGTGACAGATCTTTGTCATATGCTGTCTGTGTTGCTCCCCGGGTTCAGATGTAGATGAGTGCAGGAGGTGCCCTTCCTTCTCTTCCCTCCTTCATCAGACCATTTGATCCCTAAGAAATTCTGATTAGGTTGTGATTACTCCTTCAACATAGAATATTTTAAGGATGTTTTCAGACTGAGTAGTCCCTGAATTAGAACTGTCACTTGTATGTTCTATCCTGGCATGGACAGCCCACTGCTGGCGCTTCTATAGGGCTCACCATCCACAGTTTACCTCTGGGCCCCAAGTCCCCTTGTCGTTTGTTTTCCTAGAGGGGTTTCATGAGCTTCGCTCTCCTGATCCTTCTTTGTGAGGCCATCTGAGGTCAGCAGCCTGGTTTCCTGGCTCAGCAGTGTGCTGGGATGGAGACTGTGAGTTTATCCTCAGATGCCTCAGCGGACAACACCTCATTTATCCAAACAGCAACAACAGCAAATGCTAAATGCAATGTCATGATAAGCACAGTGAAGCATTTAGAATGGTGCAAGAAAATAAATGCATTTCCTACACAGAGGAGTGTCGCTCTGACTTTAAGTGCTCCTATAGGTGTTTTTGCAGCAGCAGTGAGAATAATCAGAGGCTGGGACCTATTGGGTGCAGTATGGGGGAATTCTAGTCGTCCCTCTCGGAACCCCATAACGCACCACATTACAAAGGTCTCATGGCCAGTGAATGCCGGTACCCGAGCTTACAGGTGGGCGTGGGCTCCCAGGAGGAGAGGCACGTGGGTCCCTTGCTTGTTCTGCTGAGAACACAGAGGGCGAGGTGGGGTGGGCACCCCCTCCCTGTGTCCACACAGAAAGCCTCAGGTGACCTTCCTGCTCTGATGGATGAGCTCAGGGAGCTGCCCAAGTGGGTGCGTGTGCACACACGTGTGTGTGTGCTTACATGAGAAAGAGAGACAGGGAGAGGGAGAGAACGAGGCCCAGAGCTGTGTGTCTCCTGTGCGGTGCTCTACTCTCCCTCTGTCCTCCCTCCCAGACACCTCTCCCCCGCTCACTATGAGAAGGTACAGCGGGACCCGTAGGGAATCCTGTGGGAAATGCATATTCCCCAGAACCCCCTCCCCAATTCCTGTTTCAGCAGGTGTGGGGTGGGGCCCAGTAATCTGCATTTTCAATCAGGCTAATTCTGAAGTTGATGGTGGACCCTCACTTGGAGAAACACCACGTGGCTCCAAAGATGCATTAGACAACTTCCCGCTGAAGAATCAGCTGATAAAACGCTCTGGCGTCCCGCTTCCTGGTTCATTAACCCTCAGCTGGGCCCAGAACTGGAAGGTTCTAAAGCACTGCAGAACCAGACAAATTCATCTTTAATGATGACAATTATTCGTGCTCACCAGAGGGAAGAGACCCTCTGGGGCACCCTGCACTGCACAGCCTCCACCCAGGCCCTCTGGGGCCACACTGGTCACTGCAAACATGTCCACAGCCATGTGGAGCTGCACGAGGACAGCACATCTTCAGTGGCATCCAACTGTGTCCGTGGCCAGCAGGCCCATTTATCAACTCCTGGCAGTGAAAAAGGAAATACTACAATGTGACCTGCCCCCCACGAATGGCAGGAACTTAAGTGTGCGGCGGTTCCTACATTTGTCACGCAGCAGCAAGACTTCTGGCCTCTCGGGTCTCCAGATGGTCCACCCCGAGGATCTCCCCTCCATCTGAGGGTAGCTGACTGTTTGCGCATATAGTTAATCTTTACTCATGCATAACATTTTCCTTTTTTACTATTCATGCTGTTGAGAATTCAAAAGGTAGATGGCAATTACCCAAGACATAGCTAAATGAGTGCATGAGTGACAGTTTTTTATCCTGTGAACAACCAAGTCGAGGATGTCTGATGGAAAGATGTTGTGTGGGGCACCTCCGGTTACAGGGGTGATAAACTCCTGTCGGCAGCATCATCTGAGTCCAACAGGAGAGCTGGGGCGCTGACCACAGCTGGTCTCCACGAGAGGGATGGGGGAAGCTCACTGAAGGACAGCCTTCCAGGGAGAGCAGAGACGCAGAAGAGCATTAAAGCGCCTGCACCCACTTTCCTCTTCACTTTCTCTCCCCACTGCACTTGAATTTAAAAATAAAGATGGAAAAGAATTTCTTAGCCAAGTTTGAAACCAGGCTAATCTTTAGGGACTGAAGTTCATTTTCTCTTGGGAAATATTTCTTATTGTTTCCAAGAAGGAAGGTTTTTTTTTTTTTTTTTTAACTATAAGAAAGACCCCAAGCCTTCTTGGACATGAAATGTCTGTTAAAAACAAACAACATTTTGATAAGCTAAGTATAAATGAATCAGAAACATATGGCTTTGATGTTCCCTAGAAGGCTTACTTTGAACCCCAAATATTTTTAGAAAGTTTGAGGTGTTTAAACGCTGCACAGTTGGGTACACCCAGCCATAATTTTAAGGGGATGAACTCAATGCACATGTTTCTGATATATTTACAATTATCAGAGTCAACTGTTCATTTTGAACAGCTTTTGATGTGCAAGAATCCCTCTGAGGCTTTAAAAGTCATTCTGCAGCCTCTTTTCTCTCTGGCAGCAGAAGGGGGGTTTGTTTCCCAGTGTCCCACAACCTCCTTCCCCAACGCGGCATATGGCTTCAAGGCTTTAACTTGTGCGTTTCAGGGAGAACCAAACTTGTAAAAATGCCTTTTCCGTGTTAATAACTTGCTAATCTTGGAAGGAGAGGCGAGAAAACATCGGGCAGATGGTCATCCCTGCTGACCTCTGTGTAGCAGGTGACGAGCATCCATCGCTCAGCTAGGGGAAAACACTCTGAAAATTCCGTGGGGGGATGGAATTTCGCTAATGTAATTTTCATTTTGGTGAGCCAGAGATCAGTGCTGGGGCCATGTGTTATGGTAAAAGCAATTCATTTTATGGGTAGTTAAAACCTATCCTACCATTATGAAGCCTTGAGGAGATGCCTTCAAATTGCCTTCCTGTGGGAGCATGTTAACCACACGTATGCACCTATGTAGGCAGACCAAGGAGAACGTGGTGAATTTGATATTAGAATAAGGAATAGAAACATTATTATCTTGGACCTTAATTATGATCATCATAATTCCTGACATTTGATGAGCAGTTGCTGAGTGCCTGGCACTATTTGTATTTTATGTGTGGCTGGATTCCATCCTCCAACCAGGTGGTGAGGTTGGGGCTAGTATTTGCTTAATTTTAGGGGTGGAGGGGCTGGAATGCGGAATCCCCTTGGAAGCCCAGAGCTCTAATGGCTCCTCTGTGCTGCCTGGATACCACCCCTCAGGGAGAATGGGAGAAGGGGAGGCGCTCCTGCTGCATGTTCCCCTTGCAGAAATTGTCTTTCAGAGGTTTTAGGGTTGTGGGAGCTCCTTTGCTTTGGAAACTGTCACATGATGTGCTCCACCCTCCAGTAAAACTTCCCAGTTCCATGATGGACCTCTGTCAGCCTCAGACCCTCCACTAACCCCTGGGGACAGAGCTGGCCCATCCCAAAGGCAATGTCTTAAAATTCTGGTTGTAATTTTTATGTCATCAGTAGGCAATGCTATTCTTTTTTCTTGATGTCTTTTTATGCCCAACTAGGATAAGCTGGCATGTCATTTCCCACATTCTGTGGGAAGAATCCATTTGTTTTCCATGGACACAATCATTTGTCCTAAACCAGGGTGTCCACAGTTCTAAAACTTGCAGTCTGTTCTATCTTCCCGGTTCTCCAGGTCTGCCTTCCACCAAGGCAAAGATCCTCTTCTCCTCCGGGCTCCTCACTCCTTGCGGCTTCACCTGTCCCCTCAAACTTCCTGTGGCTCCTCACACACCACTGAGGATGTCCCTGAAAGTGCCACTGATCAGTTACAGGGCTTTCTGGGAGCCAGGGAGGTAGAGAAAGGCTGGAGGAGTGAGAGCCGCCTTTTGCTGGGAGGAGGTGATGGTCTGCCCATCCTGGGACGTCATCCACTCTCGTGACTGTAATGTTGGTCTAAGATATGAGGGGTCTAGTGAACTCTCTAAATGGTACCTCAATATCAGGTGCTTCCAGTTCAGGAAATGAAGTGTGTGTGCAGTGTTTGTGTGTGGGGGTGTGTGTGTGCATGCGTTGAGGGGTGGTGTGGGAAGGTGCAGATTAGGAGAGACAGATCAGTGTTGCTAGTGTGGGCAGTGTAGCTTCCAGACCGTGGGCCCTCCTTTTCCCTCCTTCATCCTGGGTGGAGCTGTATTTACCTGGAGAAGGTTTCATTTCCCAAACTTTCTTTATCTCATTTTCATAGACTCATGATCTCTGTGAGGCATGCAAAGCCTCAGTGTACAGGTAGAAGAAAGAATCCCATGTGGTAAAGTGAGCTTTCTAAGGACCCGCCAGTCTCTGTCCACAGATGGGGAGGAGGACCAAAATCCCATCATGGAACTACAGTGGCCAGTGTGAGCACACGATGAGCAGGTGTGAGGAAGTGTGAGGCCCTGTGTTAGCACACCTCGTGGGACTTTAAGAGGGTGAAGAAACCTGCATGGATACAGAGAGGCAGGGAGCAGGGACAGACAGTCAGTGAACTGGGTACAGTGCCTTTGGGTTGACTGGGCTTGGCACACTCAGGCCAGGTGCAACTTCTGCCCCAAAGGGACCCGTCTACTCTTCCTTTCCTGGGGTCGGCCTTCATCCCCCGTGACTCTGGCATGACCCGGCAGGTGGTCTTCATTGTAGTTAGAATTGGGCCAGAGCAGCTGCCACGTGTGTCATCCTCATCCCCTAGCCTCCCGGCACCTCCTGGCCTGGCCATGATGTTTGTTGTTACGATGCTGACTCCACCATCGCCGCGGTCCCGATCCAGGCAACGGGATCTTTGTGCCCTCTGCATATGAACAGCTCCACTTTCCTGAAATACCGAGACTCAAGGACTGTCACTCAGAAAGACTTTACTAGGACCTGCTGAAATTCATTCAGCTACTAGCAATTCATTTCTGGATCAATACTGGGCCAAATATCTAAATAGATTCAAAGTGCTCCCTTCTGCAAGAGAAGTCCTGTGCCCTGGCCCTCAGCTGCTCTGCTTTCCCTCTGAGACTGAGACCTTCTCAAGGGTGGGGCCCTTTTGCAAATCAGGCAGTCAGTGTCCTTTAAAAGGTGGATCCTGAGTGAAGAGTAGCTGGTGATGACACCTGTATCTTCCTCATCACACAGTGTACGTTACACTGAGTGACTCAGAGATGGTTTTGTATACTCCTGTGTTCAAGAGCTACAACGACTTTAGCTATTTTACTTAAACACTTAATTCTGGTGGCAAGGGTAGGCGGTCATGACGGCCAATGGAATGTTAAAGCAGCTGGTTCCCCATTACTGAAATTATAGCCGGCAAGTCACTCCCGTGGGTGCCCAGCATGACTGAGAGGCAGAGCCGAAGGAGAAGCCTATGGAGCCGGCGGGGTAAGGACCTCCTTCCTCAGGACGTTTCCCCATCTGCAGTGTTTATCTTTCAAACATCCCGTGGACCATGCGCGTGCGTGAGGCTCCCACTTCGCGTGCTTCCTTATCTCAGTGCTTTGCTTTCTGGGCCCATCGCAAAGGCACTCTAAGGGGTTTTCTCCTAATTTTAACTACAAACACATGACTCTGGAGACAAGGCAGCCTGGTTTCCTTCCAGCAGGGCCGAGTCCTCCCAGTTTTCAACAGATGGGGCACATTCTATGATAACTTTCCAAGAGCCTGTGGTAGCCGGTCCTTCTTCCACCTGTGGGGAAACCCCTGAAATATGATTTGTTACCAGCCCTTGGCCCTTACTCTGTCCATCATGAGAGCATTAGCTGGCTGAGTGCCTGCGACCCCCAGGGCCTGGGACAAGGGGTCTCGGGGGAGCCCACGGTGACACAGCATTCCTGTTGGTTGTAGGCTTGGTCCCTCCTTGTATCAGATGAGAAACTTTAAAAATAGGAACAACTGGGGATTCTGTTCTTCCAAGTTTGGTTTCAGATCCCTCTGGTTAATGCCATTGGTGGAACAATTAGCTTCTGTATATTTCAGGATACAGGCAGGACCTTGTAGGGATCTTACTTAATTGTGTGCTATATTAATGTTATATTGATTATGTTATTGCCTGTAAATTCAGTCGCTTAATAAAGCTGCAGTTGTTTTACAATAAAGTTGTGTTAGCAGTCAATTAATGGGTGTCTGGGGGCTGACAGCTATGCACAGGGGGCATTGGCGCTAAGAAAAATCATCCTAGGGCTGAAAAGCATGGGACCCAACAGAGAAAATCGGTAACTTATGCATATGCAGGAATGTATGGATGTATATGTATATAGTGGGATTAAGGAAAAAGGAAAAGCACCTACCCCCCGCACTTATTTTTAGCACCTGGGTCTGGATATTTATGAACGGCTGCCTGTATGGCCGAGCTCTAAGAGGCACTGAGGCAGCATCTGTACACGGGCAGATGACTCTTGATTTAAAAAATACAAGTTAACGATAACTGCCAATATTGAGACCATGTGAAGGCCAGGGAACAAAGCATACTTTCATTGCTCATCATGTCAACATCCAAGTTGGAGGAGCACATGCACCATCCAGAGGAAATGCCGTCGCCCTCTGAAGCTCACATCTGCCACTAATCTCATTCGGCATGTGGTCCAACTTTTATCTCTCCACCAAAATTTCGTGTCCTGATTTTCATATCTGATGCTAAATTCAGGTCACTACAAAATAAGTGCAACTCTTTATTTCTTTCTTGTCTTTCATGATATGTCCAAGATGTGTGTCCTAACAGCAGAACATGAAATAAATATTAAAGTTTTATGAGTGTATTTTTAATAATACACCATAAGCAAATGGAAAATCAGCCATTCCCCAGTTTGGATAGTTTATCCTTCCCATAAATGAGAGTGAGTTGTCAATCATATGATGCTGCTTATGTAATTTTATTTGGGGGCAGTCCAGCGCCTATCTATCATGACTATGTGTCTTTGACCATAAGGGTGATGCCTAAGAATATATAATCTAGTGATCAAAAATGCAACTTATTACCATGGGGAGCATGTCAGTCACCAACCTTCTGCCACAGGAGGATTCCCCAAAGGCCCTAAGCCTTGGGTGGCTAAGGGTTACCTGATTCCAGTGTCAGCTCTTGTCGGTGACAAATAACATCAAACCACAAAGTAAACCATGATATTTCCTCCAAAGTTCCAACTGGGCCTTTCA